GTGAAGGAGTCATCTCTTTGTTGGTGGCTGTCACAGCCACAGCATGTGCACATGGAAAATGTCTTTTCATTTTGATGCCTGCCAGTCCTGGGGCTTGAACTCAGGGCCTGAGTGTTGCTCCTGAGGTGTTTTCTCCCCCTCCCCGCTTAAGGATAGTAGTGCTCTATCACATGAGCCATAGCTGCCATACTACAGATGTTCACAGACATCCCTTGTCACTCCCTCCAACCTCTCTTACAGTTTCATGGGCTTTTCTCAAGTGGAAGAGAAAGATCAGCGTTCCTACCCTGTGGAAGCTATCTAGAGTAGATGGTATGACAGGAAAAGACGAGACTCTGCCTCTGTGAGTCAGGTGTCTTCAGCTGTACTTGGTACTAAATCTGAATGTCAATGGAAAAGACTGGATGAGGAAGGAACCAGAAGACTCCTTTCTGGTTCTGACTGCTTAGTCATGTTGCATGCTGTTTCCTTCTGTTCCTGATGCTATAACAACTACCTGAGATATGCTACTTTACAAAGAGCAGAAATTTAGTTTCCCACAGTTCTGGAGGCTGGCAAGTCCAAGGTTAAAATCCAAGATTTGGTGCCTGGTGAAGACTGCTTTCTGCTTCCAAGATGACGCCTCATCCTGTACCTCAATGGCAGGAGTAAATAGGCAAAACTGATGAATGGCCCTCGGAAATTAATTTCATTCATGAGAGCATTGCCTCCATGGTGTGTGTGTGTGTGTGTGTGTGCTGGTCCTGGGGATTGAACTCAGGGCTTAGGCACTGTCTCTGAGCTTTTTCTGCTCAAGCTAGTGCTCTACCACTTGAGCCACAGTCCTACTTTTGTTTATTTTTAATATTTAATTGGAGATAAAAGCCTCATGGGTTTTACTACTGGGCTGGCTTCAAATTGTGATCCTCAGATCTCAGCCTCCCGAGTAGCTAGGATTATAGGCGTGAGCCACTGGTGACTGCCTGTCTTCATGTTGAATCACCTCCCAAAGGTCTCATTTCAATATTCTCACATTGGTGATTAAGTTTCAATATGTAAATTTTGGGTGGCATAGCACATGTGTTCTTGGATCTAATATTCAGGAGACTTTTCTTCTCATTTTATAATATTAGAGAAGAAGGAAGGACTGAGGGACTTTAAGCTGTGTGTTCAAGAACATAGCTGGTCACATAGCTGGTACTTGTGGCAGCAAGTTTAAGGCTGGATGATGTGAGGATGAAATTCATCGTTTTTTTCTTTGCCAAAGAAGCACAGCTAGATTTGACAGTCTAATAGGTCTGACTAGCTAATTCCAATCCTTTCTCCCTTCCTCTTGGCCTGCCAAATGACATTGATTACCTCCTGAGAAAATTGAATCCCATCCTAAGAACCTGCCAAGTTGACACTCCTGTTTGCTGATGACTAGAAACGACCTGGTTTTTCTTTTCTTTTTTTTTTTGCCAGTGGGGGGGGGGGGGGCGGGTTTCCAGTCATGGGGTCTGAACTCTGGGCCTGGGCACTGTCTCTCAGCTCTTCAGCTCAAGGCTTAGCGCTCTACCACTTGAGCCACAGAGCCACTTCCCCCTTTTTTCTTTTTGCTTATGTGGTGCTGAGGAATCGAACCCAGGGCCTCCGGCATGCAAGGCAAGCGTTCTACCACTGAGCCACCTTCCCAGCCCCTTTGACGACTTGGTTTTTCAAGAAGCAAAAGTATCACTTGGCTGTTGTCTGACAGTCCCTTCTTACTCTAACCGCACCTTTCCAATTCTGTCGGCAGAAGAGGGAGGGACTCCATCCTTTTGCTTTGCACTTGCCTATGTCCTGTATGCTTTCAGGAACCCCCTGGGTCCTCGCTACCGTGGGGCTCCTACAGTATCCAGTCTCATTTTTAACCCATGGGGTTTGTGCTTCTCCCCAGAGCCCCTCCCAACACTGATGAGGGTGCTATTTAAGAAAGACATTTGGAGATGATGACATCAATAGTGATATTGAGGAACTTTTACCTAGGTGTGGTAAAGGTATCAAGAAGATAGGGCTATCTTTGCACATGCATACATATATGTATACATATGCCCACATACGTACTTAGTCTTTTAGACAGCATCTTTATATGTAGCCCAGGCTGGTCTTGAACTCTGGATTCTCTTGTATAAGCTTTCTGAATGATGAAATTATTAGACATGCACCACCATGCCTATAATCTATTACTAAGGTCACACATTTTTTTTTAAGGTCACACATTTTTAAAGAAATTTTTTCTTTTGATGATACTGGGGTTTGAAATCAGGGTCGTGAGCTTGCTAGGCAAGCATTCTACCATTTGAGCCTAAGTACAATCTGGTGAGCTTTTTGTTGTTGTTTTTTGTTTTGCTTTAGTTATTTTTTTCAGGTGTCACATTTTTACCCAGGCCAATCTGAACTATGGTCTTTTTACCTATGGCCTTTCACCTGGATGAGATCACAGACAAGTAAACCACACCACATTTCATGATTGAGTTGGAGAATCTCATTAGTTTTTGCCTGGGATGGCCTTGAACTATGGTCCTCCCAATCTCTACCTCTTAAGTGGGATTATAGACGTGAGTCTGAAAACATTTATTTTTGTTTTAGAAATGAGTCACTATGCCTGAAAACATTTATTTTTGTTTTAGAATTATGCTATGAAATACTAAGCAATATTTAGGACTCATCTCCAAATAAAATGAGAGGGAAGAAAAAGGTGGGAGTTTTGTTTTTTTTTTGGGGGGGGCTGGTCGTAGGGCCTGAACTTTGGGCCTGGGTGCTGTCCCTCAGCTCTTCAGCTCAAGGCTAGTGCTCTACCACTTGAGCCACAGCGCCACTTCTGGCTTTTTTCTTTTTGTTTATGTGGTGCTGAGGAAAAGGTGGGAGTTTTGACAAAAGAGATTGCTTGTGAGTTGGTGATTGCTTGAGCCCTGAGGATAGGTCTTTGTGAGCTCAGTATAATAGTCTACCTACTTTGAATTTACCTGACTTTCTTCATTGTAAGCAAATAAAATAGATACTAAAATAAAGGACAGTAAACTCAAGAGTTCTATGTATGAGAGAGCAGGGTGGGTTGAGTAGAGCTCGGAGGAAGCATATAACTGGTAAATGCAAGAAGATAAAATAGTATCACATTTCTGCTTTAGATAATAGCTCTGTACCTTTCCCCTGCAGTTTAGTCTGCCAACAGTCGTGGCCAGTTTCCAGTTTTTTGTTTGTTTTTTGTTTTTGTTTATTCTGCTCAGCTTTAGTCTTAGAACTACTGTGCACTCACCCCCTTGGAGGTTTAGGCCCCAGCTCTGAAGGGCCCCTCTTCACAGATTGAGGAACCTTTGTTCTCTATCCCTAGAGATGTGGCTGCTTTTCACTGTTACTTTGTTTATTTTGATATTCTCCTTTTGCCTTTTCTGTCTCCAGTATCTGTCTAGATTAAACTGCCTAGATTAAATTCTCTTAATTAAAATAACCGGTGTGGCTTCTGCTTTCCTAGCTGAGCATAACTGACCCATGCCCCTTGGAGACAGAGGCTGAGAAACATATCAAGTTGCAGCCTCACCTCGGTGGGATTACTTCAGGCGCTCAGTTTCAGAAACTCCGCCAGAACCCTCAAGTCAACCTCTATGGCAAGGAAACTCACTCATCAGAGGAAGAGCCCTTTCCTCTCCCAAATCTAAGTAAAGTTTATAAGCACAGAGAGGGTTTAATTTGAGAAAGCCAATAGAGACCCTAAATCTTTTCATCCCAATCAAAGTTGTCAGAGCCACTTAGCATCAGAGCCAGTCAAATGTCCCCAAAGATGCTGCCTGCCTAGTAGCCATCCTGTCACCAAGGAAACCACACACACATCAGTGAACAGGGCCCCAAGGAATCAACCTGGAATTCAGATGCCTGACGTGTTTGTCATTATCAGCTCTGCGAAAGTGTGGCTACAACAATTCTCTGAAAAGTCTCCTGCCCCAACCTCTTGCTGTCTTCTGTTTCCCAAGTTGAGAATATTCCTACCTCAAAGAAAGACATGTGCTGGCAGGCATGACACACAATGAGAGGAGGTACTTGTTTACTTAGCAACAAATAAAGCAAGCTGCCCACTCCATTGGGGGCACTTCCATCTCTTTGCAGGTCTCAATGTCTTCTGGTCATCTAGGCCTCTGGCCCATAGTCATTTCATCTGTCTGCCCTATCTGTGTAGCAATGCCAGCAAGCATGCTCCATAAGGCCCTTCCTGCACTCTGAATTGATGTGTAATGTATTCACCATGCAAATGTTTACTCAAACCCCCAATCCTATTACAACTCCATCAACTATTTATTAAAACATTCCACTTGGGGTGGCATTGGTCAAGATGTATTGTACAAATAAACCAATTTGTTGAATTGAAACTTCTTTGTACAATTAATTAAAGATAATAAAATGTGGTATTAGAAAATCCCACAAGTATGTATTGAATATGTCTTGCATACTAGGCACTAGACTGAGACTGAAGATAACAACAACAACAACAGTAATAATAAAGAAATTCACTGGTAGTGGATAGAGTCAATGGGTTCTAGGGTGGGCCAGGAGTGGGGAGACATCAGCTGTGGGTTTGTTTGTTGTTTGGTTCTGCTGTTTTTTTTTTGGGGGGGGGGCCAGTCCTGGGGTTTGAACTCTATCACTGAACTTCTTTGAACCATTTGAGCCACATCTCTGCTTCTGATTTGTTTGCTTTTGTAGTTTAGTAGAGATAAAAATCTCACAAACTTTCCTGCATAGGCTTTGAATGGCAATCCTTAGATCTCAGCCTCCTGAGTAGCTAGCATTACAGATGTGAGCCATAGCTCCTGGCTTTAGTTGTGTTTTTTATTGGCATATACCAGTTTTGCTAGTGGCTTAACAAATGACAGTGATTACATTGTTCACACAGCTATAATTTCAGTAGGTCTGGGCAGGGGCAGTGTGTCTGCTCTACCTCATAAGGGAACCCCATGAGAGCTTCCTCACATGTCTGGTGGCTGATGGTGGATGGTGGTCAAGACCTTAGCTGGGGTTGGTGACTGACACACCCATAATGGGTCTGTTTGGCTTTGTCTCAGCATGACAGCTGGGTCTAAAGGTGAGACTCCCAGGAGGCAGAGAGAGAACCAGGAAGACACTGTTGTATCTTAGAAATTGCAGAATCACCTTTGTAACATTTTTGTTCACTGGAAACAAGTATGCCAAGGAGGTTAGACCACTGAAGACAATGGAGGAATGTCTGAGATGAGCTTAAAGGTAGATAGAAGCCATACCAAGCAATGACAGAAGTTTGGGTTTTATTTTGGATGCAGTGGGGAGCTTTGAAAGATTGAAGATATGTAGTCACCTAAGAAGGATTGAGTGAAAGGATCTCTCCCGTTGTGGTGCATAGAGTGAGTGGACTGGGGTGAGAGGAGAATAAAACACACTATCATTGTGGCTCAAAGGAAAAATCACGATGGGTCGGGAACTGAAGGTGAATATTGGCACTAATGGTGAAGAAAAGTAGGGAGGCTTGGGAAGCAACAGTAGTAGCTGAAAGAATTTGCTGACAGATTGGATGTAACAATGAAGGAAAGAAAGGAGATAATGATGATTCTCAGGCTTTGGGAAGGTGCATTTGTGTAGGAAGCAAAGCCATTTCTGTTGATAGAGAGCCTAGAGGAGCACGCAGGTCATTCATTCATTCATTTATTTTATTTATTGGCAGTACTGTGAACTAAGGGCCTCATCATTCCTAGAAGGCATGCTCAGAACCTCTACTCTGTGTGTGGAATTGGCTTATTTTTTTCTAAAGGAATTCTAAGATTTGAACCAATGCGATTATCTCTTGATGATATGGCTGGGCGCTGGTACAGGAGGGCACTTGCTGCGTCAGAGGTTGTTTCTGATGGCTGGTGTGGGAAAATATGGGAATCGGTGTTTTGAATCGTGCTGAGGCGCAGATTTGGGGGTGACTCCTACATCAGACACAGGATGAAGTTTAAGGCACTCTCAAAAACGCCACTGCTTGTGTGAATTTGACCTAGTGCTCTGAGAAACTAGAAGATCATTACCAATGGAGCCATATGGTAGCTACAGTCCATTGCCCACAGCTGAATCTATGGACCATGCCTAAGCTCTCAGATGCTCTTGTTCTACTATGGTGCTATCTCTGATTGGCAGCACTTGAAAGTGTAGAATAGTGGTAGGCTTCCTTTATTCTGTATACCCTTTTGACTCTCTGCTTTTTTCTTTCTTTCTTTTTTCTGGTACTGGGCTTGAACACAGGACCAGGGCACTGTCTGTTAGCTTTTTTGCTCAGGGTTGGCATTCTACTACTTGAGCCATATTTCCACTTCCCATTTTATGTTGGTTGATTGGAGATAAAAGTCTCTTTACGTTGTCACCTGGACTAGTTTCATTATTTTTCTCATTCTTTTTTTATTATTAAATAGCTGTACAAAGGGATAAATCAGGTTATTGGTAAGTGCATCTTGATCAATGTCACTCTTCCATCATTCTTCCCTATTTCCCCCTCCCATTCTCATCCTCAAGTTATGTAGTTCAGTTTTTATATAATGTACACTGAATACAATGGCTGCATTCGCTTACCCTTCCTCTCTCTATTCTGTGCCTCCCTCCTTTGGCCCTCCTGAGTGCCTCCTTGGAGCTTGAACTTAGGGACTGGGAGATATATATTCCTGAGGGTTTTTTTCCCCCCTAAAGGCTGGTGATTTGCCACTTTGAGCCACAGATCTTTTAATTTTCTGATGTTAACTAGAAATAAGAGTCTGCCCTTTCTGCCTGGGCTGACTTCAAATTGAGATCCTGATATCTCAGACTCTTGAGTAGCTAGGATTACAGGCATGAGCCAACAGGGCTCAGCTTATTATATGCCTTTTAAGATAACATTATATCATGAGCATCTTTGTCAATAAACACAGCTCTGCATATTTCCATGACTTCAATTCAACTACTTTTCTATTGTTGGACATTCACATTTGTTTGCTATTCTAAATGTCACAATAAATTTACAAAATGTATTCTGGGAATGGTGATACAAACTTATAATCCCAGCACTTAAGAGTCTGAGGCAGGAAGATCAGTCTAATAACAGACTCAGTTATTAACAATAGTCCTATTTTCAACATTTGATAGGCTTCATTCATATAGTAGGCAACTTGAGTCAAAAAGTAGTAACAGAGTCAAAAAGGTTTGAACTGGAGTGGAATGGAGGTGAAAAGCAGGTAAAAGCACAGATAGAAGGATCTATTTGAGGCCAACCTGGGCAAGTATTTGAGACCTAATTTTAAAAGCAATCTAAAAGCAAATGGTAGGGTACTTGCTTAGAATGTGAGTGAGGCTCTGAGTTCACTCTCCAGTACCTCCAAAAATAAATAAGGAAAAACTCATTTTTCTATCCAGCCCATGCTCATGCGTTATATAGCTGCTGCCAATGGCAATGTGAATTCACCACAGAGCATCATTTTTCCAGCTCAGACGACAAGGGTATATGTTATATATATGATATGATTTATATAATGCATATAGTATATAGTAATCAACTCTTTATTTTTTAATTTGAATTTTACTTTAAAGGTGATATACCGAGGGGTGAGAGTTTCATAAGTCAGGTAATGAGTAGATTTCTTTTTGAACAGTGTTACCTCTCCCTCATTTTCTTCCACTTTCCCCCCCTCCTCGCTCCCCTCCTCCCTAAGTTGTAAAGTTCATGTCCAACATAGTGTCTAGTGATCAACTCTCCTGTTTTTGTTGTTTAGTTTTTATTCATAATCATAAGCTTAACTCTGCAATCCAGCTAGATTTGGAGGGGAGATTAGGAAAACACGGAACCCAAAGAACTGCAGTTAGAACACAAAGATGACAGGCTATTGCAAGCAGATGGGGTGGAAGGGTGCTCTCCTGAGCTACAGAAGGAATGGTCTGGTGGTTATGGTAAACCAAGTCAAACGTATTAGAGTTGTCTGCAGTTGGTAATGGTCTTGTCATTCCCAGACCCAAAGCCCTGCATGGCTTCCCACCACACCCTCTTTCACCTTCCCAAAGACCACATGCTTGCCATCCAACCAATCAGGCTTGACAGTGCAGATGAAAAACAGGCAACCATGTGTGTTTGGTCCAGCATTTGCCATGAACAAGATGCCAGTACCTGTATGCTTCAGGATGACATTTTCATCCTCAAATTTCTCTCCTTAGATGAACTTGCCACCAGTGCCCTTATGGCATGTGAAGTCACCACCCTGGCACATGAAGCCTGGGATAATCCTGTGAGAGCAGGAGCCCTTATAACCAGATCCTTTCTCTCTCGTGCTCAGAGCATGAAAGTTTTCTGATGCCTTTGGAACTTTGTCTGCAAATAACTCAAAGCAGACGCAGCCCAAGGGTTTGTGGTCCGTGGCAATGTCCAAGAACACAGCTGGTAACCACAAGCGACAGCGGCATCTGCAAAGCCTGATCAACTGTTCTTTACAGAAAGTATTTTTCTTTTAAAAAGTTTGGGCATGATAGTACATTCCTATAATCCTAGTACAGCGGAAGCCGGAGGCAGGAGGATCATGTGTTCAAGGCCAGCCTGGGCCATATAGTGAAACTGTCTCACACCAACAAAACAAAACAAAATAAAAAGAAAGAAAAAAGAAAAAAAAAGAAGAGAGGAAGGAGAGAGAGAGAAAGAGAGGGTACGAGAAAAGGGAAGGAAAGAGGAGGGGAAGGGAAGCCCATACCACACTACCTTTGGTATTCTGAGATATAAAACATATCCAGTCTTACATGTTAAGTTAAATTAGCAAGTGTCTATTATTCCGAAGTTGTCTCCAGTACTTTTGGTTCCTATGTAATAAACTCTTCAACCTACCTCAGTACATAGACAAACTTGAAACTTAAGAGTGTGTATACACACACATATAAAACAAATGCCTGGGTTTTGTAACAAATAGCTGTGTTTGAAGCCAACACAAATAGCTGAAGTACAGCAGAAACTGACTACAACTGATCAAGTCTGTCCAAATAAAGCAAGGGTCTTGCTAGATCCATGAGTATTTTTGCTCAGATAGACTCTGTTAAACTCAGTTTGTCTAAAGCTTTCTTGAACACAGAAGCCCACAGGGGCATAAAATGCAAAACTGCCAGCAAAGCACTGCCTTTTTCATGGAACAAACGGGAAGGTAGGCCTGATTTCCACATAATTCCTTTTCTTCTCTTACCAGACTGTCCAAAATGTCAACCTTGCCTTTCCCTCCTCCTGAATTCGGAAGCTTTATGGTATCTGTGGTGACTTCAGAGGGGCCACTGCTATCCTCGTCCTTGGACTGGGAACTGTTTTCACAAGTGTCCTGAGAACTCTCTTCTTTTGATTTGGATTGGTTGATATCAAACGAGGCCACATCCATTCGTGTAACAAGAGTCCCATCCATATTTTCAGTGTAGAGTCGGCCAGGTGGAGCAGATGCCATTTCCTTCTGTAACTTTTCACTTGCCTGGGTCATCGGTGGGCGACAGGTCTGTGCTCGGTCTCATCGTGGGCTTCTCTCTATCTGAACTGTCTGAAGAGTAGAGGTCTTTCTGGGGTCAGGCTTCGAGTTGATGAGGAACCTGTCCCATATACAAAATGGTCTACCGGTCTTATCCCCTCCATTCTCCAAAAACCAGAGTTTGAGAAGGTAGATACATCTCCCAAAGTCCCTCTCTGCAGCTAGAATTCGATCGGAGGCTGTTGGAGTCTGTGTTCTGGAGTCTAAAATACAGTGAGGATTTCCAGAAGCCCTTCTTGCCCAGCGAGAGAGGAGCGCCAAGAGGGGGTCTGGGTGCTGGGAAGGTGGTAGGGGTGTCAAACACCGTGATCGTCTGTTTCCCCTCTACCAGCAAAGGCTCTGACCTCACAGTCCATACCCCTCCCCGACTCCGCGTCCCCAAGGCGTCCCTGGGCCCACAGCCCCTTGCGCAAAGGAAGTGCCCGTCTGCGGGTCTCCACCCCGTGGGTGCTCACGACTAAGCGGGACCTAAGCCCTGTCTGCGCACCCACGCCACCAGCACCGTCCTCCAGGATGTCCTGGACTGGTTTTAAATTGTGACCCTCAGATCTAACCTCTTGGCTGATTTGTCTCCGTGTCACTGGTTCTTAGAGTTATCACCCATCTCTTCCTCAGTCTATGCAGCACACATCAACAAGTAGTCCATGGCACACATCAACAAGTAGTCCATGGAGGGCTGTACCTATCTGGTTAGAAGAGACCCGGGTGTTACATTATCATCAACATTCCATTCCATTATTATAATACCATGCTCTCTCCTACCCAAGGTCCTCTTCTAATATGTCATGCTCAATTGTGTGAATGAGACTGTTTCATCTTACCAAGCCCATATCTCTTTGCCTTTTTCCCTTGGTAGGGGCAATGTGAAGGACGTATATTAAAAGAGATTGTATTCGAGGAATGCAGAGATGTAAGAGCAAGCAAAGTTGAAAGATATGTTGCTCTTTATTAACACTAATTCCAAGTGGAATTAGTGCATTTCTTGGGGGGGGGGTCTTTATAAAATTTTTGGTTGTCATCAGTGAAGCTTAGAAACCATCTGTGAGAAATGATTGGAAGCTAATATTCACATGTACCATGGTGGAGAATGCAAGTACCATTAAATGAATGACACCAGAGAATGGCAGAAGCAAAAATCCAAGACCAAGACCAAACCCCAAACTACATCAGTTTAACACAAACAATTTCCAAGGAACCATGACATTGTGAATGGTGATTACTGCCATCCTCTTCCTGGGGTGACAGAGAAAATATCAGCTACAATAACATGAGCAGATGTTTCTGCATTGCACAGAGAGTTGACATCTGGACTTTACAAAGAATCTGGCATGCTGTGATAGAATAATACAGAGATATGTAAGTGCTACTTTTTTTCTTGATTAATCTAAATCTACTTTGTTAAGTGTCAGTACATTGTATGGGCCCTTGCATTTTGAACTATTCAATTGTTTATATAGACAAGGTTATTGCAAAAATACTTTTTTCAGTGCCTTATAACAGCAGGGTGGTCTTGGCCATTGGTAGTCTTGAAATACTATCTCAGTGGTCAGGTGGCATCAACACCTCATTGGAGAAGAGAAGTGTAAGGAGAGAGAAATGAGAAATTACAAATGTAGGTGAGTTTCTATACATTACAGCACAGAAATGAGACAGAAGTTGAGAAAGTATGTGTGGTTAATATGTATTTGTGTGTTCTGATAGGAATGGTCCATCAGGGAGGTCAAAGAAACTGATGCTGTAGAGGAAAGAGATGGAGAGTATGTGGATGCTGCAGCTGGTAGGGGTGTAGGTGTGATGGTCAGAGTTAACAGGAGCTTTCTCTTTGATGCTTCTATTTTCTCCATGGTAGAATGGGAATTCAAGTCATCAGCAGAAATAGCAAATGGAGTGGGGAGATGGTGTTCTATGATTGATTGATGAATGAAAGGAAGGTGTTAAATAGTCATCATAGCAAGAAGTTGAGTGAGAAGACCACAGGCTTGCTGACCATCCTAATGCCCAGTTAAGAAGAATGCCAAGACCAGTCAGACGAGCCAGTTTTTGTTGTTGGTGTCATTTTTTTTCCTCCTCAAATGCAGCATCTCTAATGACAGAATTCAGTTTAACCAGGGTGGATAAGTTGGTTATCAATATATTACCTCTTAGTTTCAAGCCTACCTCATTTTTTTGCTTGTGACAATGGAACATTTCTTTTTGGTTAGCTGGCATGTTAGACCTTGTTAGAAGGACACTGGAGCAAGAAGAATTTCCTAGTTCTATGTGATTTTTCTTTTTCTAGGCAGGATTTTGTAATGCATAGCAACCAGCAGTATGTCTTCCCCATGCACCTTAAGTCCTGCCAGCAGGCACCTCAGGAACTTCACATCGATGTCCTCTCCAGCAGGGTTTGAGTCTTGAAACTAGTGTCTTCTTTCTGTTATCTACCAATGTCTGATTTCCTTTCCTTGTAATTCAATACATTCAGAGTCAGGAGACAGAGCTTTGAAGAATTTCAATGCCATAG